AAAAAAAAGATTATGTACCTAACGTATTTCAGAGTATTCTTTAAGAAGTACTGCTGCAAATGGTTGCTTAAAGTTCTAGGTTCTTGACTAATCTCTGAATGGTGTTGACTGAAAATGGCTTAAAATGTTGAGTTTCATTTGAGGGTATTTGTTGAATAATTTTTTTTTTTGAGATGAAGTCTCACTCCATCACCCAGGCTAGAGTGCAAGGGCACGATATCGGCTTGCTGCACCTCTGCCTCCTGGGTTCAAGCAATTCTTCTGTCTCAGTCTCCAAAGTAGCTGGGATTGCAGGCATGCACCATCATGTCTGGCAAATATTTTATATTTTTAGTAGAGATGGGGTTTCACCATGTTGCCCGGGCTGGCCTCAAACTCTTGATGTCAAGTGATCCACCTGCTTCGGCCTCCCAAAGTGCTGGGATTACAGGTGTCAGCCACCATGCCTGGCCTTATAAAAAGTAATTTCAAAAGTAAAATAATTCAATATATAAAGGCGTGACTGCAGTTACAGCACAATGGGTCATGATGAAGAGAGTAGCAAGCTGGAGTTTGACTGAAAACTTTCCCAAATCACAGTCATTGCCATTCCACTATAGATACATAAACAAATTAACCCCAATAGAAAAGCACTTGCCTGATGTGACTCATAGAAGGCACTTACCTGATGTTACTCAGCTATTTAAAAACCCTGAGTACTCTTTTTTCTGTGTACTTTTCCTTAACACCATTTCTGAGTAAGAATATAGAATATGTCTAAATTTGTATTCAAACACGTCTACATTTTTCTCAACAAAATAGAAAGATTATGCGGTCGAAGGTCAAAGTTAACAGCAGCAAAATAATGTCTTTCTTGTGCAATGTTATTTTTCCCCACCAAAGTAAATAATCATGGGTTTAATTGTTATTTCAGGTGGCATCTGCCTATTTCAAGGATTTTCACCTACTGCTAATTGGAGTTATCTGTTTAGCAACATCCATAGAAAAATGGAATTTGCACAAGAGAATTGCTCTGAAAATGGTGATGATAGTCGGTGTAAATCCTGCATGGTAAGTACTGCATTTACTGCTTCCAGTTTACCCAATGAACAAACCATTTTTGTGCATAGCAAATAACCAAATAAGTAATTCACGCCCAGGAAATTCTTTGTATCACAGTCAGACTTAGGACATTTTTTTTCCTCTGCAAATATGAAAGTGATACAAAGTGTACTTGAGTTGTAGGAGGGAAAAAAAACAACTTTCACTGCAGGTCTAATTACAGGGTGGTTGGAATATGTGCACACAACTTTCTCACCTTTTATGCATCATAGAAGTCAAAGCTGAGAGAAGCTTTGAACCTCAACAGATAAGATTGATAGACTTCAGAGTAGATTTTCCTCCTATCTCGTTTATTTGACTGATTACATATTCAGAACTAGTTCAAGAGTGTCCTTTATCATCAGGGAGGATGTTACAAACCAAAGACAAAGACATTACTGACAAAATACAAATGTGTGAAGAAAAATTCCAAGGTGAATATTTTTCTTTTTAAACCAACTGTTGCAAAGTGAAACAATCAATTAAGACATTTCATCTATAGAATATGAAATCACTCATTTGACTGATAAAATTAATTGACTATTTTGGTTTTATTTCACCTCTTGCTAAGAACATGAAAGTAAGCTAAAGAAAATTTCCGTTGTCATAATCATTTGCATAGTGGCATTTTGCATTAAAGCCTTAGGTGTTTCTTTCCTTCTCATCTTTCTTTGAAAATCAGAATATTATATTGACTTATATTGCATAATTCATTCTAGGGCATAGCCACATCTGTGTTTTCATTTATGGTGCAAATTGTTTTGCTAAATACAAAAAAAAAAAAAAAAATCAGTGACTCAGATGAGACAAATTTTCAATTTTTTTTGACTTAAAAACTGTATAACACATATGTGTTTAAGACATCATGTTGGCCGGATGCGGTGGCTCACGCCTGTAATCCCAGCACTTTGGGAGGCCGAGGTAGGCGGATTGCCTGAGGTGGGGCGTTCAAGTTCAGCCTGGCCAGCATGGTGAAACCCCGTCTCTACTAAAAATACAAAAATTAGCCAGGTGTGGTGGCAGGCACCTGTAATCCCAGCTACTCCGGAAGCTGAGGCAGGAAAATTGCTTTTACTTGGGAGGCAGAGGTTGCAGTGAGCCAAGACTGCACCATTGCACTCCAGCCTGGGCAACAGGGCAAGATTCTGTCTCAAAACAAACAAACAAACAAACAAAAACAAAAACAAAATGACATCATCTCACTCTTATAATGAAATGGGGCTCCATGCCTTTTAGGGTGCTATAGAAATGTATCTCTTTTTCCTGACCCTCTGCTCGCTGTTCCAGAGGATGATGTGTAATGCACTTCACAGTTGGGCAGAAGTTCTGACCATTATGTCACTAAGCAGCTTTTCAATTTAAGGCATTTTCACCATCCAGAAGCTTTATCTGATCCCAGCATTTTTTATATGAAGATTTATTGTCTTGATAATGCCTTAAGAAGTTAAAAGTTCTTAATTTTCTTTTTTTTACAAGAACCATTTGTTGTGTAAGCAGATTCCTAATACATTTTCTTCTTTTTTGTTGTATGCATTGAAAATGTTCACCTTATCTGAGTCTGAAACTTACAGTGTGTGGCATTGTTCTTGTACATCTGTTTTAAAAGGGTGTCAGATTATTTCACAAATTGCTCTATATAGAAAGGTGTGCTTCCGAATGATTTTCTAGGCCCGCCTACTCAAAAGAGATAGTTTTTTCCCCAAGTGTGACTTTGAAAGTTTATAGATATGGCTTAAAATTTTGTAGTCTTAGGTATATTATTTTTAAGGAGAATAACTACTCTTTTTGTAAAAGAAGACAATGTATGTGCCCAGATCTTGACAATAGGAAAGGATATCAGATTCAGGAGAGCATATATTATAGAATATACAGAAAATTCAGAAACCTCGTTTTAGTAAATGACTTTAACTATTTTCTCCACCCACCTTATATTGAATCAGTATAGTGAACAAGTAAAAAGAGGCTTTATAAATATTAATCTTTCTTCGTCCTTGTACCTCCCTGACACCCCTATGAACAAACAAGAGTTATGGCTAAAAGATAAAAGAAAAAATAAGCGACCTTAAATTCGAAAGTTGATTGCATTTTCATCTTACTAGCATTTGAAGATAAGTGGTCAGCTCTGAAGAGCATTCAGATATTGGTGTAATATTATAAGCTGTTATGTCATATAACCAACTTGCAGTTTGTTTAGGTTGAATCATTTTTCTGTTTCTGAAGAGAAGATTTGCATGGTTCCCTGGCAGACAAATCTCTTAAGAACTCCACTTTTCCATGTGCAGCTTTGATTTCTACCTGGCTGTCACTGTACTCCAAGTTCATCATCTGGGCAGAATCTTAACCTTCCACGTTTTGAAAGACTTAATTTCCCAACTCACAAACCACATCTTAAACATCTTCCAGTTAAACAATACGGTGCTAGTTAAGCTAAGAGCACAGATCCACACTAATGGCTCTCTTGTTTCAGGCTGACTCTGGGGTTCATGAGCAGCACTGCCTTTTTGTCTATGTGGCTCAGCAACACCTCGACCGCTGCCATGGCGATGCCCATTGCAGAGGCTGTAGCACAGCAGATCATCAATGCCGAAGCAGAGGTTGAGGCCACTCAGATGACTTACTTCAACGGATCTACCAATCACGGACTAGAGATTGATGGTATCGCATGTTGATATGGCCAATCTGGGGTTTAGTCATTAGAGCAATAGACATAAACTCAAGAATTCTAAGTTGTATTTTGAATTAACTGTCCATACATGCATGATGTGAATTTAACTTTCTCCCTCTATAGTTCTCAGTATCTACAAAAATAGTTTTCTATAAATATTTTACCTAAATTGTTACATTTCTATTCGCTTGCAAAAAGAAGAATGCCTTTTCTATCCCTCAGCCAGACTGATGGAACACTCTCTCATGTCTTTATCAGTAGACCTCCAGGTTACTCTTTCCTGTCCTGAAATGGCTTTCCTGCATAATACTGGGAATCTTTAATTCCTACATTCTGTTTGGATACAGCATCAAATTTCACTGTGATTATTTCTGGCTCTGACAAACTGATGCAGTGAAAAAGTGTTGGGAGAATATTTGTATTTATAAAATAAGATGAATGTGATGTTAGTACACAGTGAATTTTTAATTTTCAATTTCTACTAATGCTTCCATCTTTGCATCCACATACAGGCAAACCCAATGATAACCCCTTATTTACATTGTTTTTCTTTTATTTAATGTTTTGCAGAAAGTGTTAATGGACATGAAACAAATGAGAGGAAAGAGAAAACAAAACCAGTTCCAGGGTAAGGAATGTTGACATTTTGATTAGGATTTTTCCAAATTCTATTCTAATAAAATTATAACTGGATCAATTTGTTTTTCAGATGCAATAACGATACAGGGAAAATTTCAAGCAAGGTGGAGTTGGAAAAGGTACATTAATTTGATTCTTTCTAAATAATTATATACAAAATTATATTAGAGCTATAGTTAGATACATATGCATTTTAAAACCTGTCACTTGCTTCCTTCTCTATAAATTATTTTGCTTGACTAAGTAGTAGCATGGTGTAATGGTCTGATAAGCTTTCATGAACAGACGGGAATCGACATCCGGATAGGAACCATTTTAGGCTCTGAAAATTAGTATCATTATTTTCTCTTTTTATCAGAATTAGGATAATGGCAGTTAGCCAAGGTAGTTTAAAGAAATATAATTCCAGTCTCAGAATATTGCTTCATTTTCTTTCTTTTTTTTTTTTAACTTTTATTTTAGTTACAGGGGTACATGTGCAGGTTTGTTATACAGGTGAATTGTGTGTTTTGGGGGGTTAAGATACAGATTATTTCCTCACCCAGGTAATAAGCATAGTACCTGATAGGTAGGGCTTTTTAAAATCTTTTTCTTATTGAAATCTTGCTGGCCTAATAGCCTGATTTTCATTAGGAGTATCGTCATCATTTCTTCCAGGTTATGAACTTGGAGCAACTCCTATTCATGTAATTACAAATCATTATCTTTAGTGCTTCCATTGACACTAAAAAATTCAGTGCAGAATTCATGAGTTGCTTCTGTCAAATACAGGTGGAGGAGTTGTAGCCATTCTAGATATTAAAAGAGGGAAGAAGATCTTTGTAAACTATCCCATAGAATTCATTTCCCCAGAATAAATCAATATAAAAATACTATATTAGATTGCACTGGGAGCAATATACCTCAAGACCTGAAAAATAAATCCCGCATAGAAATAGTACTATAGTAACTACAGCATTAGGAATAGGAAAGTGGGACATATATTTCTTCATTCTGGCCATGGAATGCATTAACATGTAGCTCAACAGGAAAAAGAAAACCCTCTTGTTAATTACAGAAATCTTCTAAGAAAGAGCAATTTCTATATAAAGAGAAAATGAATACAAAGATATGTTTTAAGCCATTAGCTACAGAATATATTATGGGTTTTTTAAGATGGGAATTGCATATATATTTACAAAGATACTATCTTTAGAGATAGAAGTAATTCCTTTAAAACATGAAAAATTAACAGTATGCCAGGTATGCTATAGAATAATACATTAGAAATGGGCTTTAAAAACTGTTGTGAAAATTGGCACACCTAAACAGAAAGAATATACATGCACTCAGTAACTTTCTCATGGTCATCTTTGAAAACCTAATTTTCTATCATAAGGCCAAAAGTTTCAGTCAAAACCCTTCAAATTGATTTGCTATCCAGATACTGTTTCAGGCATTGTAAGCTCCTTATTGTAAGCAGCTCAGAATCTAGTGGAGAAGATGGACTTATAAAAATAAATCTGACATAAATACCACAACAAAGGCATGCACAGAAGCCAACACTTCTAGACAGGAGCAACCAGTTCCATCTGGGAGTATTGCAGGGAGGACGTACAATGTAAAGACATCTGAGTCTGGGAAGATGAGAGGCGAGCGTGTGCAAGCAGAAGAGTGCGAACTCATGAATGCAGGAACGTGTCTACCTTGTCAGCACTTTAAACTCTGGCACATTCCCATTGCCTGACACAAAGGAGGTATTCAATAAGTAGTTATCTTTATCAATTAATGAATGAGTGAAAGCAAAAGAGTAAAAAGAAGACGCTTTCTAATCAGAGAGTACAACTAATTCAAAAACCCAACTAAGTAAAGAACGGGGTTTTTCAGGAAACCTCTACAACGCAGATGCTAGAGATGAGCTGTTGTGGGGAATAAAATTATGGTATGGCTTTGCGCAGGTTATAAATATCTCTTCATCAAATACAAGGGAGTTTAGAGTTGATTTTATGGAAAACACAAAACCTTAAAGCTGCGGGGAAATATGGTAAGTTCTGTCCTTGGGACAACCGGAAAGTCAGTGGTGAGCTTTTTGATTAACTGAGCAACTGAGCTTCTTTATTAATTAGACATTGGGGATGAGGGAGAAAAATGTAGGAGATGCCTCCACTGCTCTAAACTAGGGAGTGATAGATTGTGATGCCATTGATTAGAATGCAGAACTCAGAGGTAGGAATAACCTTTCAATGGAGAAAAGTAAGATAACAGAGATGCATTTTTGGCAATAAAGATTAATATCTGAGTTTAGGAGAGGAAAGCGAGGCTTTCGAATGTTGATTCTAAGGTCTTTCTGGAATGCAATGCACAAAAATTTAGCTTTATATAAAAACAGGAATAGTTTTTTGCTGCACTATTCTTTATAAGATGTGCATGAGAGCATTATTTTATATATTGTACATTTACGATATGTTTTGATTTTTAACAATTACAGGTATATTTTCAGGAATAAATGTATATATAGTTTGTGTGGCAATTATAATAAACGGTAGCCGTTCTTTGATAGATTTACCTTATATAATTTAACACTGATTATATGGAAGAATGTATATCTACTTCATCTAGCCATAAAATGGAAAAATATTTATACTCATGATCTATTGATCTTATGCTTTCTTCTTGAAGTAGGTGGGATATTCTATTGAATTAAAATAAATCCTGTGAGGTTTGACTTTGAATTTGACCTACAAGTAAAAAAAAATACAAATATTACTCCCTTTTTGGGGAGAGTGGTATAAATTAAATTTCAGAGAGGATAAATTTCCTTCAGTTCAGCTCTGATTTTGATTATTTCTTGCCTTTTGCTGGCTTTGGGATTGATTTGTTCTTCCTTCTCTAATTTTTTCAGTTGTGATGTTAGGTTGTTAACTGGAGGTCTTTCTAACTTTTTGATGTGGGCATTTAGTGTTATGAATTTCCCTCTTAACACTGCCTAACACTCATGACATGAGTTTACCTATATAACATATTTGCACATGTATCCCCCAAACTTAAAGTGAAAAAAGGGAAGAGAAAGAAAATAAAAGACTTAGTTTTTTTTTTTTTTTTTTTGTAATCGGCATAATTTTGCTATGTTCCTGCAATAAAATAAATAAAATTTATTTCTAATGAAATTACTACAATTTTATTCATTTGAAGCACCATTTATTTAGTACAAAGCTAAAGATTTTAAAATTTTAATTGAAATCTCTTTACTAATATAATTAAATTAATCTAAGCTGATCAATAAGCTTACTTCAATTTTTAGAACTATAATATTTCCCCCCAAAGGCAATAACATACACTGATCCATATAAAATTTAGTGTGTAGTAAGTAGAAAGCTCTTAATAAGTAGAAAAAAAATAGCCCCCAAATAAATTCTGTACTTAGCAGGGCAGTAATATTAGCTAAGAAATATACATTTAACATTTGCTCAATGTCACCTTTTCAACAAGACCTACCCTAACCTCCCTATTTCATTGCAGCCACCATATCCCATATCCTTTCTCCTAATCCTCATGACTCTACCCTACTTTATCCAAAGCATGTATCACCTTCCTACAGAATATGTAATTTGCTTAATTTTTATTTATTTTGTTCATTGTCTTCTTTCTCCACTAAAATGCAAGGTTCACGGGGCAGAGATTTTTGTCCATCTAGTACACATCACAAATATCTTGAATAGTGACTGCTCTGGAGTAAATAGTAAATATTTGCTTATTAAATAAATAAATTCATTAATATTTTTATCAAATGATTACAATTAGAGTAAAATAACTCATGTTGTATGTAAGCTACACTAAGTGTCCAGTGTCTAGTTAACCATCAGGGAAAATTCAGAGAAGTCACTATGGACAACATAACCATTAAATTAAATACTGTTATTTTTGGCTGCTTAAAAAAAAACAAACTACACGAAGCAAAGAAACAAACTGATAAACATTTAAAGTCAACACTATGGATCAGATTGCTTTCATTTTGGGTAGAAAGACAAAAAAGTAGTTTGTAACTAAAATTTATCAGCTCTAAAATTCTTGTTAAAAAACTGCAAAGTTCTCATACAGGTAATAATGATGATAATTTTGCTGGTAGTGATAAAGACTAGATGTTAGTGTTGAAGATGATGGATATTTAGTAGTCCAGGATCTTATTTTAAAGTATTTGTATCAAAGAGTCACATTCCTATGCTGCATATCTAAAAAAGAGATTTGTCCCATGACTTAACTTTTACGAAGTTCTCTTCTCATGATAGGTCATGGCCCAAATACTAACTGAGCTCTCTATTTGCCCAAAATAAAGTGGAGAATAGTTACCAAGCCAATAAATCCCACAGTATCCCCTAAAAGTAGCTGAAATATTTGTGAGAAGAAAAGATACTGGGAGAAGAAAGGAGTACCCTAAAATTACACTGACAGTACCTGAGGGAATATATTTGTCAGGTTCCATTGGGGTAACTGGTAAACCAACCACCACGCATAAAATTTCCATGGGAAATGAGTTCTAGGTATCCAAAAATCCATTTGTAGATACCAAAGGAGGAATAAAGTTCCTAGTTCTTTCCCTCCCCTGCAAGCATTAGTATCATTCAAAGAGACACCCCAGAGTTTTACATCAGCTCAATTTCTAAACCTCCAGGCATCTACAAATGAAAGAGACTGGAAAATCAGTACACTTTTAATGAAAAATCTGAGATAATTGTTTTTCATTAATTTAATTTAACTTGTAATTCCTCAAAGGGAAAAGTTCAAAGAAAAAGTATCCTTGAACAAATTGCATCTTGCTTTTAATTAGGTATTGTTTAGTTTGGGGGTGAAAATCCTTATGGTTGAAAATCCAATTGTACAAGACAACACTTTTTAATGTTCTCCAGAAATTCAAAGGAGTCTTGTAAGTACAGTAATAAACATGGTTCATAATATTAGAAACTACAGGCATTAGTTCTGCCAAATAAGGAGATGTTAATTCTGGAATATCTGGCTCATAGATCAGATATGAAAAAGGTATTTTAGCTTAGATCACATAACAAACACCAGTTGGCTCTCCTTCATTATTCTTCCATTTTCCTAAGCTGGGAGAAATTGGATGGCAAAGGCAGTAATTAGTCCT